GAGCACTTTGGGGGGCCCCACGGACCCCCCTGTCAAATTTGGGACCGCTAACACCTTTATAAAAAAATCCCACTCTCCATTTATTTGAATTGGTTTGGCCTAGCGGTTTCGTGGACACGGCTCCGAAAGGGCCGATCGACTAGAGGGTGCTATTTGCGTATCGTCAGGGGTCCCTTTAGCGGGAGGAAAAGTTTGATGACCCTATGAACTCGTTCAGGGGTCAAAAGGTCAAAAAAGGGACCGCGCGTCCACAAAACAGTTACTCGTTTAAATGGGAAGCGTTCTAAGATCACAGGACATAGGGCCGCGAGATTCTTGCTTCTCAGGGGCCCCTCACTCACAGACCCGAAGCTCAAAGCCATAGGACCTTCTGAAAAAGCTCCTCTCCCAACCAAAAAATCACTCAAAAGGCTCTGAGTGGGTATAAGACAGAGAGGCCTGCAGCAGAGATTTTGTGCAAAGGCCCAAAAAAATTTCCTTCCACTTTAGGACCGGGGGCCCTCAGTACGTTGCCCTTGGGCAGGGGCCACGGTGCAAAATTTGGGACCCCTGGGACCTTTATAAATTAATCCCACATGCCACTTATTTGAATTGGTTTGGCTTAGGGGTTTCGTGGACGCGGCTCCGAAAGAGCCGATCGACTAGAGGGTACCATTTGCGTATCGTCAGGGGTCCCTTTAGTGGGCAGAAACTCGTTCAGGGGTCAAAAAGTCAAAAAAGGGACCACGCGTCCACGAAACAGTTACGCGTTTAAATGGGAAGCGGGACGTCTCCGTTAAACGTTTTACGTTTAACTGTTTTTTCCAATCCGTTGTAAGATGCCAGTGTTTCCTGTCATTGCTATGCAAAGACTTGATTTTAAAACAGTATCATAGCTATTAAACTATTTTGTTATGGTTTTAAATGTGTATTTAATCTCAGAACAATCTCAAAGCAATTCTGATTTTGTTGTGTTGTGCTTTAAAATTAAATAATATAATCCTAATTCAAGTGATGAAGGATTTTGAAAGTCTGACAGTAATTAGTTGTTGAGTCCTACTGTAATGTTAACCCTGGTTGGTTTACATGTTTCAAAAGATTAACAGTTGAAAACATTACATATTTAGAAAAGTAATTTAAAAAAAAAAGTAATCAAATCAGTTACATTACTTTTTAAAGTAATTGAAATAGTTACGCTACTTATTAGATTTTAAATAGGGTAACTTGTAATCTATAACCTATTACATTTCCGTAGCAACCTTCCCAACACTGTGCGTAAAATAGAGCCATTAGGGTCTCAGCTACAGCTAAATGTTTAAACAAACTTAAGGCTGATTTTGTCAGTTTGTGGGGTGTCTGTGAAAGCTGTGTGGGTGCTTGAGAGAGTTTGAAAGAAAAATGTTTTAGCTTAAAGATGTGATTTTATTACAAACTATAAGCATTCTAACTTAGAAACACAACACTATGTTTTTTTTATTTTTTATTTCCAACAAAACGGTTGTTTGACATTTAAAAAGTCAAAAGAAAATTTGTCGCGTTTTGATGAGAAAGTCAGATATGGTAGGTAAATGAATAATGAATAAAGTATTTTTTATTGATTAATATGATAGAATCATGCTGAATTTACAAGGTTATGTGTTTACAATAATGTGTTTCATGTACTCACTGGTTACTTTATACATATTCAAGAGAAATGCATAACCTCAGTTGTTTAATCAATCTAAAGTTTTTAGTCTGTCATTATAATATCTTAAAAGAAAAGTCTTCCATACATTCTATTTTCATTTGTTTCAGGATTTGTCGCGTTTTGATGAGAAAGTCAGATATGGTAGGTAAATGAATAATGAATAAAGTATTTTTTATTGATTAATATGATAGAATCATGCTGAATTTACAAGGTTATGTGTTTACAATAATGATTCATGTACTCACTGGTTATTGTATACATATTCAAGAGAAATGCATACCTCAGTTGTTTTAACCAATCTAAAGTTTTTAGTCTGTCATTATAATATCTTAAAGAGAAAAGTCTTTCACGCATTGTATTTTCAACTGTCTCAGGACTCGGTCACACAAGAACCAACTGAGTATGGCCGTGAATCCTATATGAAAGCTAAAAAAGATTACTTTTTTTCAAACTATTTTTAACAGTAATATTGAACTTTACACATCTGTATCAGTAAGACATTTATGTCATCACAAACCTTTAGACACATCAGGTGGGGGTTGCAAAGTTGGACTTATCGATTATTTGAATTATTTCTTCTAACAATTATTTGATCAAATCTTAGTAAAATAAAACTATATAGAAAGTTATTTTTATTTTAATAAAATAAAAAATTATACTGTGAAAAATAAATATGCTGCATTTAAACACCATGGTTAATAATACATTTTTAAAGTAAGAAAGAAAGTCTAATCTGTTGTTAAGATTCTGTGAGACATTCGTAGCACCTTGTTTAAGAATTACTTTTGTTTGTTTGTTTCTATGTGTGTTTGTGCACATGTTTGCGTCTATATTTGCGTTGAAATGTATATTTGTCTATATGTTTGTGTTTGTGTTTTTGCTGTATGATTGTGTTTGTGTGAGTGTTTGCGTGTATACATGTTTGTGGTTGCATGTATGTCTGTGCTTCTGTGTATGTTTGTATTTGCGTGTATGTGTGAGTGTTTGTTTTTGCGTGTATGTTTGTGTTTGTGTTTAAAAATGAATAAAGATGACAAATTTAACTAAAATGAAGTAAAATTATACAAACTTTCCTACAGCATAGACTGACTTGTTAAAAACAATCACCCTACCCCACCCTATTTATTTCACTTTATTGTTATTGTCTTTTTTTTTCTATCTATCTAATAACGTCCTGGTGATTCTAAAAGTTTTTATTTGTAAAAATGTTGTATGAGACATCGTACAAGTCTATATGTTTATCTGGAGGTATTTTTGTGTGTGTGTGTGTGTGTGTGTGTGTGTGTGTGTTTGCGTGTATGTTTGTTTCTATGTGTGTTTGTGCACATGTTTGCGTGTATATTTGCGTTGAAATGTATATTTGTCTATATGTTTGTGTTTGTGTTTTTGCTGTATGATTGTGTTTGTGTGAGTGTTTGCGTGTATACATGTTTGTGGTTGCATGTATGTCTGTGCTTCTGTGTATGTTTGTGTTTAAATCAAATTTTTTTGTCATATAGGACCCTATACTCTCTCTTTCAGGATTTCAGATTGCACAACAGAGGGGGACAGAGGTTCAGTCCAGTGGGGACAGATTGACCCACTCACCTTCACAGAAGGACAGTGCTCCAAACAGACTGCTCATCATGAACTTCCTTGTAACTCATGAACTTATTATCTCTCTCTCTCTCTCTTTCTCTCTCTCTCTCATATACACAGCTCAACGCTCTACAGAAGAGTGGGGATAGTTTTCCACTGGCTACAGCCTCAGGGAGAGTTCTAGGGAAGGTGAGTGGGGGGAGAGAAACTAAAAAAAATAATTAGCTATAACTAACTAATTAGATTAGCTACAACTGTTAAAAAAAAATTAAAGGAGGAGCATTTTCAGATGATCCCTGTCCTATCTGAGAACCTTTATGGTTCTGCTTTTACAGAAAAGTAAGAAATTTAGTTATTAAATATTTGCTTTGCTACCTTTTATTAAAACGTTCTTGAATTTGTTGTGTTCCATTAGACATGACATTATGATGCCTTAGAAGCCAATCCATAAACAAGTTTTCATAGCAAGTGGCAATTCTGACATTGTTTACTCAACCATGTTGCTCCAAACATGAAGAAAGACTTCTTCATTGGACGACAAAAGGAAATGTTATGGGCTGACAGTCACCATTCACTTTCATTGCATCTTTTTTCCCATACATTGGATTCCTATAATGCTTTAAAAGTTGTTTTTATTATTTTTTTTAAATAAAAATAAAAATGAATAAAGTTGTTTTTTTATTTATTTATTATTGTTATTATTTGTAATTTTAAGTATTCTGTTCTTGCTATGACATGGAAGAAAACAAAATCTAAAGTTAAAGCAAATTTTTACTGAGGCTGTCATTCTGCCTAACATCTCCTTTTGTATTCCACAAAAGAAAGAAGTCAGATTTACACATCATTAGTCCATTAACAACACAGTTGCATGAAGTCAGCAGCAATAATCAGGTATAAATATATATATCATGGAAGAAAAATCTAAAGTTAAAGCAAATTTTTACTGAGGCTGTCATTCTGCCTAACATCTCCTTTTGTATTCCACAAAAGAAAGAAGTCAGATTTACACATCATTAGTCCATTAACAACACAGTTGCATGAAGTCAGTCAGCATAATCAGGTATAAATATATATATATATTT